CTTCGTTAATTGGAGGTCTTTGTTCATTAGAAGTCTTTGTTCATTAAGTCCTCGCTCATTCAGTTTCTTCGTTTATTGGAAGGCATTTTCCATTAGAAGTTTTTGTTCATTAGAAGTATTTGCTCAAAAGGTACCTTTGTTCATTAGAAGTAATTGCTTTTTAGAAGTCTTCGTTAATTGGAGGTCTTTGTTCATTAGAAGCCTTTGTTCATTAAGTCCTCGCTCATTCAGTTTCTTCGTTTATTGGAAGGCTTTTTCCATTAGAAGTTTTTGTTCATTAGAAGTCTTTGTTCATCAAAAGTCTTTGTTCATTAAGTCACTGTTCATTAGAAGTCTTTGTTCATAATCATAATAAGTATACGTTCATTAGAAGGCTTTGTCCATTAGAAGTTTTGGTTCATTACAAGTCTTTCTGCATCAGAAGTATTATGTTCATTAGAGTGCTTTGTTCATTAGAAGTATCTGTTTAGAAGTCTTAGTGCATAAAATGTTTCGGATTCAGATGAATCCTAAATTTGAATGGTCAGTTGTCCGTGTTTTCTTACAATCACCGCGACAACCACAGAAAACATTTTTTCAGGGTTGCCACTATACCGAGTGAGTCGCAAAGAAGCATGATCATGATTGCGAAAGAAAAATGCAAAGTCACTAGAGATAAGGTTTTGTGTGCGGCACTTATATTATGCAATATTCATCAACCTACTTGAAAGTTTTATACCTACTTCAATGTCCGATAATATTATTGAAGGTAAATGGCCAATCGACGCAATGTTTAAAATTCCATCTCTACTAAAAAAGCTAATCCAAAATAAATTGCTGCAACACTATAATAACACCTTTTGTGATCTGACCACTTTCCTAAATGGATTTAAATACCAACCCACCGGATCATATAACCATTTACCTTGAAATTCTCTCTACCTGGACATTGTTATGGATACCTCGATCCCTTTCATCCCGAATGAGAATGAGGGATCATCAACCCTTGTAGGGCTCTTTTTAGACCCAACTCAACTACCCTCCACCCCCTATTGTCAGAAGCCAGATACGTTTTCGACCCTTGTTATTACTCAGTGGCGTATCCTGAACATGTCACGAGGTAAAACAAAAAATAAATCGCTCCAAAGTCACTCAACATAAGAATGAACTTGTTTTTTTGGATGGGACACCCTCTAGTCATCTGTTATACAGATTATGACCTACTTTTCGCGAACTCGCTGTAAGATCCCATTCTCCCAAGAGTTTTTTCGGAACTGATATAAAACTATTTTTTAACTTTAAAATACTCTGTATATGAGATGACCGGTTTCAATCACTATAATGTTCTGTTCATTAAGAAAATTCATGACATGAATACCAAATTGAACAAATTTAAGTGAACAAAAAGTAATGCCCACAAGGTCACGGGACATGAGAATGAAAAAATATGTTTGCTGATACACCCTCCAGTTCACTAGTAAGTAGACAGATTGAGCTACTTTTCATGGACACCCTGTATAATCACAGTCTCTCCGAGTGTTTTTTCAGAATGCATTAAATTTTTTTTTGGTACTTACGTATTTTTGTTTCAAAAACACGAATTTGATAATGAAAAAATAGTAGATTGTTTTATTAGGATCAAAAGTGACACTTTGTTTGACAAGCGAATTTTGCATTTGCGAAAGCAAAATTTGCGATAAAGTTCAACTTTAGCTCCTAGGAACTAAATATGTTGCCTAGCAACATACCTATTTTTGTGTCAGTAATAGAAACGTCAATTTAAGAGCTAATTTTGGTATCGAAATGGACGACTTTTGTGTCGGTTGCAGAAAAATAGATTTTTTGGTGAGTTTTTCATGTTTACTGCTAAGAATCATACCAGCTGGCAGCCATTTGATTTTAGATGTCAAATGAATGTCAAATGTCAACAGATTTTGAAAGTACATAAACTTATAGACAAATTGCTTTTGAATAACGTTATACAAATTATTTCGAATGTTATTCTTCCGCCTTCAATCTTTTTTCCTACTTTAAAGGTTGAAACTCATATCTCCAAATAGTAAATATGGAAAAATGGCAAGAAAATCATATTTCTAGTCAAATTTCAAATTGAAAATGTATCATTGAAGTACATCGTGATGAATAAACTGTCCAATAATGAAAGTCCCAAAAAAAATTTCGAAAAAAACCATCGCATCATCAAGTACAAAATAACCAAATTTTGGAAGTATCTTACAGTACTTTTTTAATTCAACATTGTTCGTGCTGTACGAAATCTTGATAAATCAAATCCTAAATTGAAGATAAGTCCATGAGCCGACATCAATCAATGACTAATACCTACTTGTGAGTCTACTTGTCTAGTTATCTCTAAAAGGAATCATATTATCGATATTTTTTACGTGGTAAATCAATCTAAAATGATTGATTATCAACGAAAATTCGATGAATAATTTGCCAAATGTTCTACCTTGAACAAAGGATGTGATTACTGATTCGTTACTTTAAGTATCTAATACTATAGCTAAAATTAAAAAACATTTCCAAAATTCACACTCGTGGCTTTGTATATGGCATTATAAAAGTCATATTCCATCTTTCTTCGATATGGTCAACAGATTAACCACCATTAAATCGGACACTGTGTAGGTATATCCAAGAATATTTTCCTAAGGAGTGAACCCATTTTCAAACACTTAACAACAATGTTTAGGGAATAAAAACCCAAAAACCCTCCTTAATGAGGTATAATTTCCACGGGTACCTATTTCTCCTGAAAAAAATTGGATGACACCTCCACACTATTTGCGCCAAAAGTTGTCCACCCTGTACCACGCAAATCCTTTCTCTAGCTGAAAATACAGTACCTACCTAGTTTCTAAATGAGATGATCGAAATTCAGGTAGACAGGTAATGGACAAGATTGGTTACGTAATTCAAGAACATCCCATCGTTCTCACGGACTTCTATTCAAGGCCTACTGAGAACTCGAGACCAGTCATTACCGACCCAAAAAAACAGCGTCAAACAATCGCTCGAAACAGTTTTTTTTTGTTCGTATATAAATACACATCTCAACCAGCCTCTATAATGACTGCAGACGAGCCACAGCACCCTACGACCAACATCCAACGTCACGCGATAGTCTTTTGTTGGTGCGAACGGAGGAGGTCAGTGACTGCACTGCACAATCGAGCTGGCTGCTGCTACCGCTGGCGCCCTCTGGCGGCGAACGAGCCGATCACGCGCGACGTTGCCAAGTCTGTTCAAAATCGGTGGACCTCCCACCGAGTGCATTTTCGATACAAAGCAGCTATACCGGGGGTCCCAGAGCTTTGGGGCCGAACATACAAAAAATTGTGGGTTATAGGTACTGAAGCTTTCCAAAAAAATCGATATTTTTATATGAAAATTTTTGATAGGTATAATAATTCAAAATTTCCGAGGATGAATTCCTTGCTAGTCTGATATAATCACTGAATTCAGAATGAACAGAAGGTAAACCTAGTAGATTTTTAGACATGAGGTTGATTCGAATTCATTGTCCTGGAGTTTTTGCTCCCATATACCTACCCTTCATTTCATCATATTTTGATATTTTTAGATAACCCAGACATCTGCTGTCCTAAGAGCTCTGGGACAGCCGGTAGGTTTCGGTATAGATTGTGCTTTTATTGTCACTCCTAAGGATGAAAGTGACAAAAAAATCTGCATCAGTAGGATGAAACAAGATTCAGTAAAATTACAGGAAACCAAATACGAGCTTCTTTGGTCCAGAATAGATTATTCAAGCAAATGTATAAAGGTGATACCTGATGGTGAATAAGGTACATACCATAAATAACTTCAAGTCTCTCAAACATTCAAGTATTAGGTATCATCTAGCTAGAAATAGTGGATGCAGGAGAAAGTTAAAATTCATATTGTAGACTTTGACTACGTCATACCGACCTACTCAGCTATAATGACTACCTACCTATATCATTTATCTTTTCATCTCTGTTCTGAGTTCATGAATTAATCATGACGAGACTATTACAGTGTTACACGACCCTGCTGACCTTTCTTTATCGATTTATCGAATCTAGCATTTTCAATAGCATCTCGAAAACAACTTTGCAAAATACATGACCCATTTTTTCCCGATACGTAACTGGTAATATTAATATTACCTGCTTTTCAAATTGATCAAGCTATAAAAGCGGGCGCAATTGATAGGCGTAATTGTAAATTAGGTTTTATTTAGACATTGAAAATTCTAAAACAAATCTACCTAGGTACCTTTAACACTCATGATTCAAATGAGGACCTACCTAGTATTGAATATGATTCATGAACACACACACATATTGAAGCTAACTCAATTATCAACGAGGGAATTTTCATTTAACGTAAAAAAATGATCGGCACAGGGCAGACATTTTACTGTCTAATGTCGGAGTGCTCAAGCAATCAAACATTTTCTAATTTCGAATCATACCTGAGTCTAATCCATGAAGCACACAATTCACATCAACTGCATCATTAATTCCAACGATATTTTACAAATAGGTACGCAACCGAAACAAATACAACAATCGAAATCATGATAATACAAAACGAAACTGAAATTTGACGCCGAAATGTTGAACATCGAACAGAGATACCTACCTGGATGAAACTCACGTCTTACCTACTTGATTAGGTACCTACATTTCAATTACCTACTAGATACAGATAGCTTGATACGATTGCAAGACAGATCTCGATCTTTTTCGTGTAAAAATATTTGTTATACGCGGAGCGGAGTAAGCGAGAACAAAGGAACCGATAAATTGCACCGAAATTCCCGACATCTCGACGACCAAAGTCAAGAAGGGTGCACACACGTATCCAAACAATGGCATTCCATAGCGAAACCGCGTAGGCATTCAGCAAAATGGAGCCTGGCATATGGCACAGACATTGAACGCCGTTGCACTTTCATATAATCCAAAAAGGGCACACAGCAACATCCACATCATCGCACTTTGCACACTTACCAAGAAAATTAATTCACAATCACTCGAATGCACTGCTCACAAGCCCATCAAAGTTTTCACAATCCAATAAAAGATGTCCTTGAAACTGGTTGAGACGGACGACTAGCGTAGCATCCGCACACACTGGCTTCTCACAAAAGACTAACTTTGGTCGGGGGAGCGGAGAGGTAACGAACGGAGGCGGAAACGGCCGAGCGGCGGCCCGGTCGAGAGCGGTTCGAAAGCGAGGAGCTCGGCGTTGCCAGATGGCGAAAAATTCCTGTAGGTGGGAGATTTTATTTTCCTATGGGGATTTGGTGTTCGAATGCGAACTAGAGACGAAGAAAGGCCAGTAATCGTGAATAAATTTGATAATATCCAATTCCAACTCTTCTGAGTCTTATACAGGGTGTTTCTCAATCTCCTTGACAAAATGAAAGAATCGAATCCTCGGTTAATTGTTAGACGAAAATGTAGAATAAATGTGATTTCGCCAAGTTGTTTTAATACAAGATGTTCAAATTTTGTTTCGATTGTATTCAAACTGCCTATATTTCGATAGTGGGGAGCCATTAAAAAAACGTATAGCCCTTGTTGCAAGCGATTCAAAATACAAATGTTTTCCGTGTTTTTCATGTGTTTTTATAGTATTATATAGTGGTCCATGGACATTGGATGAAGTGATTTTTATTTTTCAATCCGAAAAAGATTTGATATTACAGAAAACGTCAGTGGCGTGTATTTTTTTGTCAATAGCATTGGTAAAAAAGCCTTTCCGGACGTCTATGATTTTGAAGATGTTTCTTCTACTAACTCAATGAGCCCACGAAGCATGTCTGAAATAAAATGAAAATTGTATTTTGAATATTAAGCGACATTGACAATTAAGCGACGATTCGCTGCTTTAATTTTGTCAAAGGGATTAGGAAACACCCTGTAGAGTACGGGTATAATATATAAATATATAAATATTTCGCAAACAAAGCATAATATTACATACCTATCATTGAACATGAAGAAGTCCTCAATTGACCTCTAATTGACCTTCTGAATATTCTTGAGGTTTCAAGAAGAGGCATTTCGAGTTGTCGAATTGGCAACACAGCAAAAGCAACAAGTGACGGTAACGGATAATTTCCATGGAGCGCCTAGATACGGTACATTTTCCTTTGAATAATTATAATGTCGTTTTGTAGAAAAACGAGTTTCGATCTTGTTTTTTTATTATTATTATTCACGGAATTCTCAATTAATTGCGGAAATAAACCTTCGCTGATTCACTAGGTATTTTCCAGAGAGTACCTACGTGGTAGGTAGGTACCCAAAAAAATTTCTATTAGGTTGGAAGGTAGGTAGGTAACTTTTAGATAGGCACAGGCTCAGGGTGATTCTCCATATTTATGTTATTCAATAACTAATCAGTTAATTTGCAGAAACGATCAAATGGGAAAAATTGATGTATTTTTTTGTGGGCATTCAGAATTTAGTTCACTAGCAAATGCAAGAACGTATTGTAAACCTAAAAATGTTACACAAACTGGTATTTTTCAAATGGAACACCCTTTATTTTATTTCTCTAATCGATAGAGCCCTTTCTTCTGATTTCAAATATACTTTTAAGAGGTTATCTTTGTTAGTTTTCGAAAAATATAGATTGTTAAGGCAGCTGTAGACCGCCAAAAAGAGGCAGCATTTTCGTCTGGCTTAGATCTTTACCAAAAAATCAATATCTTTCAAAAACTGGCAAAAGATAACCCAAAAAAATGAAGTATATACAGTGTCATTAATGAAATCGGCATCATATGGGAAAAACTTTTAATAATAAATTATTTCGAAATTCGCCTTGAGCGCTAAGTTTTGCTCTGAAAATAATGAAAAATTGACTACTCCGTGGGGGTCACGTGACTTTCGCTACATGCCAATAGATATTTTTTATTTCAAATTAGTCACTAAAAATTGGCTTATTTGTTCGATTACCGAAAAAAGGATGATACCCCAAAATGCACTTTTGTCAAATTTCATCCAATTTGTTTCACTCAGTTTTGAACAGTGTACAAAATAGTAATTTAAGTAAGCAGTCCAGAAGTTACTGTTTGTTTGGAAGTGTAGACAAAATTCTAGGCAAGTCCTGGAATGCTGCGAGTCCAAAAAAACTGTTTTTTGACGTGTTGAGTACACTATTTTTTCGTCAAATAGCTGTCAGCCGATATTTCGCTGCTATGGTAATAAACATCTGCATTTATCAAAACCAGATCTACCAATTTTTTTTTTTTGAATGTATGACGAATTGACATTCATCATACAGGACGTGGAAAGAAATTCTGAATTGAGTGAGTAAGTTATATTTTTATATCATAATCATCTAATGTTGATTCTCAATTTCAGATGATTTTGATTTTTCATGCTCTCTTTTTGGATATTCAACAGATATAATTCAATGTTCGACGTGGCAAATAGCCAGGAAAGTAGTTGTTTTCTGTTGAATATTCAGAATTATATTATATGCATATCTTTATATGAAGGAGAATGCAGATTCTCTACTTCAGAAGATTTTGTTTTCAAATTCTTATCGTGTGTGTTCAATAGATGTAATTCAATATTCGTTGTGGCATATAGCCAGGAAAGTAGTTGTTTTCTGTTGAATAAACCGTGAAAGAATTGATATTTTCATCACATGGAGAATGCGAATTCTCAATGTATTTCTTTATATATATCCATTTTTTTTGTGTTCATAAATATATCTGAGCATGCCTTTTTTCTACGGAAGTCGATCTCGCTGTGCCCAACATAAGCCTGTCAGGAGTAACCATACCTTTGAAGACAAGTATTTCGATGCTTGGTATAACTATCAGCAATAACCTTTCTTGGGGAAATCACGTGAGATCAATTGCTAAAAGTGCATCCCAAACACTTGGCTGTCTGTTTAGGGCCAGGAGCTATTTCACTCCCAGTCAGCTGCTTATGATCTATTCATAAGGCACAGATCCGACCTGTCCTGGAATACTTTTTCTATATTTGGAGCGCAGCACCCAAACATACCCTGAAACTGTTTTATTCTGTTTAAAAAAGGGCAATTCGTCTCGTGGGTGATGCTTCGCTCACAAACTCACTCACTTTTCTGGAACACCGTAGAAAAGTTGGCGATCTGGCTCTATTTTATAGATATTTTCATGGACCATGCTCTGCTGAAATATCAACAATTATTGTTCCTCCCTTGGCAGTCCCCGCGAGATTAACCCGTCGAGTTGAGGCTTCGCACCCCTTCGTGGTCACTTCGGAGACCTGCAGAACATCTCTTTCCAAAAACTCGTTCATCCAACGAACAGCGAGGCTCTGGAACACATTGCCAAGGGAGGTGTTCCCCGAGGCATATAACCTCCAGAAATTCAAGAAGAACACCAATTCCTCCTTGGTTCTCACGATGTTCTCTGAACATTACAGGATATCCCCCTTCGTGGGAACCAGAACATGAAAGAAAAAATCACAATATTGTGACCGACCTCCTTGTGACATCTATTTATACCGCTTTTTGCACGTCTCTGAATCGCTGGCGACTTTTTAGGTATATTTATTCGCAATAGGAAAAAGGGGAGACTGCACTTTCATATTTCATCTCGATTTACAAGAACGGCTTGCTGGGTATAATACCTACCTATGATATCATAAAGATAGCGATTAAATGAAACATTCTAGTCGCGTAAAACCAGTCGTATAATAATAATAACAGATGCTGTTTAGAGGGCATTTGAAGGTCGAATTGAATTGTCGATTGTAGTTTGCACCTTATCGCCCAAAGATATTTTTCAACAGCTAAGTGAGTGCTAATAGCCTGTCAAAATACAGTTCTCAACACACCAAATGGACCACTCATAATTTGACTCTATTTCGAAGACCTGTATTTTTTAAAAAAATTGACCGATCTTCATGCGGTTTTCGATATCAGATGTGATGTTTCATCGGCTTCAAAGAGAGCTAGAACAATCTGAAAAAGTCCGCAAAACAAAACTCACACAGGGTGTAAAGTGGAACCATTACACTATGGTCTACATTTCCAATGCTGCCAGAACTCGAGAAATTTTTTTCTGATCAAAAGTCAGTCATATTATGATACACTGTGACCTCATCTCGGGACGTTTTTGTGATTTCTCCTCAATTGGCCATTGGAACAAAAATTCGATATTTTTTCGAAAGTCTTGCATTTCTTGATTTTTTTCTCTAGAACTCCACTTGAGCTGACTATTGGGAAGAACTGTTCTCATGTTTCATGGAGGATAATGAAAGACGAAAAAAGCACTTTTTTGGATTATACAGGATGATAAGAAACTAGGACAAAATCTCATTTCAGTGAAAAAAATCAAAAATGGTGACTAAAACTATGGCCCATTCGATCCAGTATATTCAGGAACGGCCTTCTCGATATCCATTATTTATATTAGACCATTAACTCGATACGTTTTCGAAAATTCGCCTCTAAATGAAATACAGGAAAAAAATTTCCAATTCAAACTTGTTTCCTGATATTGATGATGGTTTCCAATATTTAATGCCCAAGTATGAGACACAGAGTATTGTTGTTCAATGTACTGAGTGTTCTACAACTTATCTGACAAATTTCAACCACAACTACGATATTACATAAGAAGTCTATCACAAAAAAAAGTATAGAAGTTGAACGAGATGAAAAATAAAATTTGTAACACTTTATATCCACTAAAACTACTCTATAAGGGCTCTATTGGCGAAATATGACATTATTGAATTCTTCAGCATCATGAATATCCAACTAGAAAGTCCTATATCCTAAATTTCAGTACTTGGTAGGCCTCCCCGATTCAACAAAACCTCATGAAATCGGTCTGGCATAGATTTTATGAGGTTGTTGATGAAGTCTATTGATATTGCCGCCCATTCTGGATAAGGTTGTCATTATTTTGGGGTGCCTCGCCTTCTCGATAGGTCAAGTTTCATTCAGCTCCACACATGTTCAATCAAATTCAGATCTGGAGATAATGCTGGTCACCACATTCTTCTAACATTATTGTTTTCTAGAGTTCGTAATTTGTCAGATGAGTTGTGGAACACTCAGTATATTGAACAACAATGCTCTGTGTCTCATACTTGGGCAATTAATATTGGAAAACCATTGATAAAATGA